TAGTGCTCTACCACTTGAGCCACAGCGCCACTTCCAGTTTTCTGGTGATTAATTGGAGATAAAAGTCTCACAGACTTTCCTGCCCGGGCTGGCTTTGAACCCCGGCCCTCAGATCTCAGCCTCCTGTGTAGCTAGGATGACAAGTGTGAGCACCAGCGCCCGCACACTTTGGATTCTTAATCTTATTTCTTCCAGTTGACAGTCACTGATGTTGTCCACAGTAGCTCAGACACGCGGTAGTCAGCCCGCGGCTGACAGCACCCTAAGCTTCCGCCAGATCCTTCACCACCTCCCATCCGAAAAGGTTTAAGCCACACCTCGTATCCTCTGGCGCTAAATATGGGCCAATAAAGCCGCGGGCCCAGGGAAAGAGGCCATCATCCAATGGGGAGCCAGCTCTAGTGTAGAGAACCGCCCGTTAGTGGTGCCTCTGCGCCGCGGGGCCGCGGAGCCGCAGAGGATGCGGGGCACCGCTGCCGGAGGCACGTGACTGGTGAGCAGAGGCAGCCGGCCCCACCTCCTGGTCTGGAGGTAGCGCGATGGACCACGCTTCCAATAGCTCACAGACCTTCCCGTCACGTGCAGTTTTTGCAAGCTCAGCCGCTCCAGGCACGTCACGTGTGAGTGACGTCAGCGCGACGGGACCCTATGGAAAACGAGAGCTACCTTTACAAACCGGGAACTGGTTTATCTCCACAAATGACAGCAGGGAGGGGGCAGGACAGCCTATCACGTGCGCGGGACAGAACGGGGCGGGGAAGCCGCTGGCTCGGGGTGAGCGCCCGGCGCGCGGCGCGCAAGCGCCCTGGGGACCCGGTAGAGGCGGCGGAGGCTGCGGTGGTGGTGGCGGCGGCGGTGGCGGCGGCGAAAGGAGCCGGATCGCTGGCCCGCGTTGGAAGCGGCGGTGGCGGCCATGGCGGCAGATGGAGAGCGTTCCCCGCTGCTGTCCGAGCCCATCGATGGTGGCGCCGGAGGCAACGGTTTAGTAGGGCCCGGCGGGAGTGGGGCTGGGCCTGGGGGAGGCCTGACCCCCTCCGCACCACCGTACGGAGCCGGTAAACATGCCTCACCCCAGGGTAAGCCGGGGCGGGTCTGAGGTGCTCCCGGGAGTACTAGGAGAGGCGAGGAGGGGGCGGGGCCGAGGGCGGAGGCGGGGCCCAGCGCCAGGTGAGAGACTGTTGCACCTGTCACGCCTGAGCCTGCCTTCCGTGTACAGTCGCAAGCAGAGCCGGAAAGGAAGGGAGTTGCGAGGAATCCAATGGAAACACCAATTAGGATGAGCTCACCGAGTTTGATCAGAAAGCCTGAAGACCCTAGAATTTCCTACTCCCGGGAAGCATTTGTAGGGAGTGTCTGTAAGTGATCTAGCCCTTCTTTTTATTTGCTTCCTCTTTCAGCATTTCCCCCGTTCCCTGAGGGGCATCCAGCCGTGTTGCCTGGGGAGGACCCACCCCCCTATTCACCCCTGACCAGCCCGGACAGTGGGAATGCCCCCATGATCACCTGCCGTGTCTGCCAGTCTCTCATCAACGTGGAAGGCAAGATGCATCAGCATGTAGTCAAATGTGGTGTCTGCAACGAAGCCACTGTGAGTTATATATACTACAAAATGAGCCCTGTGTCCTGGATCCTCTTTTTGATCCTTTTTAATTCTGGACCTGGACCAAGAGCTTTTCTTGAAACCCAGTTTCAGTTCCAGGAGTCTTAACCAGCCATTTCCTCCCCAGCTACTCGCCCGTGCTAGTGTCATCGGCCCTCACTTCTACACTTCTGAATACTGAAGTATAGTTCTAATCCTCAAATCTCAGATGATTCTCTCCCTCTCCCTCTCTCTCTCTCTCTCTCTCCCTCCCTCTTCCCCCTCTCCCTCCCTTCCCTCCCTTCTCTCTCCTTTCTCCCCCCCCCCTTATATCTATGATCTCTTTTAAGGAAGTCTATTTTGGAGGGATATGGAAGGGATTAGGATTGGAGATTGGTTTACTGATGTGTTCATTATTTTCTAGCCAATCAAGAATGCACCCCCAGGAAAAAAATATGTCCGATGTCCTTGTAACTGTCTCCTTATCTGCAAAGTGACCTCCCAGCGGATTGCTTGTCCACGTCCCTACTGGTAAGAGGCATAGGTGGGGAAGACAGTAGGTAGTGAAAATTGGAAAGGGGGAAAAAAAAGGATTTATAGAGAATGTAAAGAAGAGAGAGCTTGATATTTATCAAGAAGGAAAAAAGGCAGCTAGATGCCAGTGGTTTGTGCTACTCAGGAAAGTGAGTTCTGAGAAACAAGGTTTGAAACTAACCTAACCAGAAAAGCCAGGGAGACATTTATCTTCAGTTAATCAGCAAAAAGCCAGAAGTGGAGGTGTGGCTCAATAAAGGAAAACCTTTTCTTTGAGGAAAAGCTTTTCTTTGAGGGATAATGCCTAGGTCTTGAGTTTACATCCTAGTACTGACACACACCCAAAAAAGGATATGGGGTTGGGGTGGGGCTGGGGGGACTATGTAGCATAGTATCTTACAACTATCTTCCTTGATTCCTGATAGAAAGATTACTATAAAATGGTATTCTTTAGATTAGAGCCTCTGGCTATGAGATTTATCATGAGGTTTAGTGTGAGTTAGAGACTTTCAGTAGTGTTCTTTCTCAGAGATTCACTATGGTAGGAGGGGGAGGGGGAAGAGGGGTACGGGGACAGACATACGGAAGTACATATTGTCTCCCATGAGCAGAAAAGCCAAGAATTGGATAGAAGGTAGGTAGTGGAGGATGTGAAAGACAGTGTGGAGATATTTTTAGAATAAAAATCCGTTTAAAGATAGCATTTTCCTCCTATATAGCAAAAGAATCATCAACTTGGGACCTGTGCATCCAGGACCTCTCAGTCCAGAACCTCAGCCAATGGGTGTCAGGGTCATCTGTGGGCATTGCAAGAACACTTTTCTGGTGAGGAGGAATTGGAATTTACCCTGGGGGGTAAACTAGGAATACTGATAATGGGACATCTTGAACCCTGTCCTGGAAGGATACCTTTCCCATCTGTCCACTATTCCAAGTTTCTCACTGAAGATTATCTTCCTACCATTAGGTTCTTTTTCTTTTTTCATAGTGGACAGAGTTCACTGACCGAACCTTAGCACGATGCCCACACTGCAGGAAAGTGTAAGTGACCAAGGAGTGTACTGATGATCGAATGATACATGGAGTGAAAAATCTGCTTCAAGTGTCAATTTGCCTCTCCACAGGTCATCTATTGGGCGAAGGTACCCGAGGAAGAGATGTATCTGCTGTTTTTTGCTTGGCTTACTCTTGGCAGTCACTGCCACTGGCCTTGCTGTGAGTAACCTTTTCATTTATCAGCCTCATCATAAACTAAGATTTGAGAAATTGGTATCCTGAAAAATGGTGAGAGAACCAGGCCTGGTGACACACACCTTCAGTCCCAGCACTTGGAAGGCTGAGGTGAGAATCACCAGTTGGAGGCCAACATGGGAACTTAGAAAGATGCTGTCTCAACCCTACTTTCCCTTCCAAAAGGTCGAAAAACTGGGAGGGCGTTCTTAATGAGATTGTCAAAAACTGAAATGATACTGGATACTGCTGGTTCCATCTGAACTCTTAGCTAATCAGGAGACTAAGATCTGAGTCAGGACAGACAAATCCATGACACTCTTACTCCATTTAAAAATCTGAAAATATTAGTGGTTGAGCCCCAGCCTTAAGTTAAAAAGCTAAGCAAGAGCATGAGGCCCTGAGTTCAAGACCTGGTACCAGCACACATACAAAAATCAAAATGATAGTTTTTATTTAAAAATAAAGTCATATTTTGAAGACATTAGGTCAGAGGAAAGTGGCTTGAGTTTCTTCAAGGAAGTCTGGTTCAGTGGGAAGGAATGAAATTCTGGTAGTCTGGAATGGTAGGAGTATTTTTCTGCCTGGGGGAAGGGTAAACTAGCTGAACATCCTGACATTTTGAAAGGTTCCTTAAGGCTGATGAGGAGCAGACTGAAAATTTGAGTTACTACTTCTAGGATTCCTAGGAAGTAGTGAAACATCAAAATCAAAATTAACATTTCTTTTTCTCCTTTCTTATCTATCAGTTTGGAACATGGGAGCATGCACGGCAATATGGAGGTATCTATGCAGCCTGGGCATTTGTCATCCTGTTGGCTGTTTTATGTTTGGGCCGGGCTCTCTATTGGGCCTGTATGAAGGTCAGCCACCCTGTCCAGAACTTCTGAGCCCTCAGTGATTCACAGACTGTGCCTGGCCCCTCCCTAGTGGGGACAGTGACACTACAAAGGGAGCTGGGGTGAAAGGCTTCCAAGGCTTCTGTAAGGAAGCCAAGCAGTTGCCTTCCTTTTTCCTGGGGAGAGGTAGGAATGAACCAAGCCTCTGCTTAGGTTTGGAGGGGTAGATCAGATGGCTGCTGGCTGTATTCCTCCCAGGGTTGGTGTGTTTAGGGTGAAGTAAATGGAACATTGCCCTGGAACTTGGGTCCTAAAGACGGTTCTTCCTGTGTGCTTCCTGAGAGCCATTCCTCTCCCTTACACATTCCAGGGCAGGGTAGGGTGGGCAGCCCTGGGGGATCCCCTCCCTCTTGTGCACCATTAGGACCTTGCTGCTGCTATTGCACTTCACCAGGGGCTGGCTCTGGCCTCAGTACCCCATTTTCTCTCCCCACATTCCACGTCTTGTAGGGGTGGGGTCAGCCGCTGCTCTGTACAGAACCACAGGAACTGATATGTATATAACTATTTAATGTGGGGGTACACTCCCCTAATCCTCTATTTCCCTTATTTCCTCCTTCCAACCTTCCTTATCCCATCCCCGGTTGCAGTATTTAACTGGGCTGGGTAGGGTTGCTATATCTTGGGGGGAGGTTAGGGACTCATCCTGTGCTTGTAAATAAATAAGATTGTGACTGTAACCTCTCATAGTCTTAACTTGTGTGTGTAAGGAAGAATACTGTAAACCACAAAGGGATAAAACACAAAGACAGCAAAGCTCAAACTATGGCCTTTTATTTTTTACATGGATTACTCAAACTTAGTGGCTTTTCTCAGTGTTTAAAAAAATATGGGAGGGCACCCACAAAACAAGAAGCTTGGGACATTCTTACAGGAAAAAAAAAAACTAACTCAGTATAGTTTCTCTAGAGAACTGTTAAGAAGAAATATTTGTGGGTAAGGGAAGGCTGTTTCCCCAGCTCAATGGTTCTTGAATGGTGTCACAGGGCTAGGTACAGGGTAATGGGACAGTGGTCACTGCCAAGGGCCTTGGAACGGATCTTGCTGTCGCACAATGCAGGTAAAAGAGAGTGGGACAACAAAAAGTAATCAAGGCGCCAACCAACGTTCTTGGAGCGAGCATTCATCATGTAAGTCCAAAAAGTGTAAGCGTAGGCTGTGGTGGGATAGAGGTGCCGAAAGCTATCAGCCAGGGGCACCGCCTGCAACAACTCCCCAAAGCCTTGGCGCTCTTGTGGAGTAAAACCAGCATTCTTTTTGTTTCCCTTGGGGTTACGAAGGTCTATTTCTTCATGAGCCACATTGAGGTCCCCACATAGCACAAGGGGTTTGTGAGAAGCCAAGCCCTTGAGAAACTTGCGAAAGGCTTCATCCCAACGCTGCCGGTATTCCAGTCTTACTAGACCCCGACCTGCATTAGGTACATAGGCTGTCACAAGTACAAATGTGTCAAATTCAGCCACAATCACTCGGCCTTCTTGATCGTGTTCCTCCTCACCTACAGAAATGATCAAAACAAGAGCCAGCATTAAAACAAGCAAAGGATCTGGGCACCAGCAGCTCATGACTGGAAGCCAAGCTACTCAAGAGCGTGATATCTGAGGATTGAGGTTTGAGGCCAGTTTAAAATGGAACATCTGTGAGATTCTTATCTCCAATTAACCAGCAAAAAGTGGAGGTGTGGGGGCTGGGAACGTGGCTCAGTGGTAGAGCGCTTGCCTTGCATGCATGAGGCCCTGGGTTCGATTCCTCAGCACCACATAAGCAAAAAGAAAAAAGCCGGAAGTGACGCTGTGGCTCAAGTGGTAGAGTGCTAGCCTTGAGCTGAAGAGCTGAGGGACAGCACCCAGGCCCAGAGTTCAGGCCCCACGACCGGACCCAAACCCCCCCCCAAAAAAAAAGTGGAGGTGTGGCTGAAGTGGTAGAAGAGCACCAACCTTGAGTGAAAAAGCTAAAGAGACAGTGCCCAGGTCCTGTGTTCAAGCTACAGTACACATGTACACACATGCATGTGTGCGCACACACAAAACAAGCATAAGGAAAGCAGAGAACAAAAGAATAAAGCAGGCAAAGCTTGGATACTAATCGCTTGAGAAGAGCTAGCAATTAGCAATCAATAGGACCTTACCAATGCCATAAGAGACTTTGAGTGGGCACTGGCGGGAAAGCAGACCCACACCACTGTATCCTTCCTTGTCTGAGGGAGCTGACCAGTACTGATGCGAGAGTCCAGACAGTTCTTGAAGTTCACCTGGTAGTTTGTTCTCTGAACATTTAGTCTCTTGGAGGCACAGGATATCTGGAGCTTCTTCCTTCACCCACTGAGTAAAAAGAAAAGTGGAAAAACTAGTATATATGGACCAATTGGTGTTAGATAGAAGCTACATGCAAATAATTCAGTCTCTGTGCATAAGGAATTAAACAGTCACAATAAAGCACTTAAAGAATTAAGACCACACAGACTGGTACAGGCCAGTTACTTAGGGAGGCCAGCTTAAACAGGGCAACTTGGGGATGTAGCTCAAGTAATAGGGCACTTGGTTAAGTATTCAACCTCCAAAACTGTAAAAACAAAGTTTAACATGCAGTTCTAAGTAGTTAGAAGCAGTGGGCAGAGAGCTAAGATTTTAAAGTAATTGACAGAAGACATAGTGGAGATAAAATAGAAGTACAGTAAAGTTTTGATACATTCTGGAGAGGAGGAAAGAACAGGAAACAAAAACAGCGGTGAAAATGCAGGAATGGCCACTTAGGGAAGAGCTGAAGTCTCCCTTATACATCTTGCACAAGAAAACTACAGATGGATTAATCTTCCAAATCCTTCTATTAAGCACTGTTTTCCCCTCCTTTTACTTCACTCACATCTAAACCTTTCTTCTTAATCCAGGCGCGAAGCCCATCCACATTCCAGGAGCAGATCTTGAGTGTGGCAGCCTTGCCACTGGGTGAAGTTTTCTGATCTGGAGGGTCCTCATATAGGACTGGACCTTCACCTGCAGCTTCTTTTTCATTTTTCTTTGTTCCCACTTTAGTCTTCTTAGCCTCTGGCTCTATAAAAGTAATAAGACAGGGGCTGGGAAGGTAGCTCGGCGGTAGAGTGCATGCCTTGTAAGCATGAGGCCCTGGGTTTGATTCCTCAGCACCACATAAACAGAAAGAGCCAGAAGTGGTGCTGTGGCTCCAGTGGTAGAGCACTAGCCTTGAGCTGAAGAGCTGAGGAACAGCGCCCAGACCCAGAGTTCAGGCCCCATGACCGGCAAAACAAGACAAAAACAAAAAGTAATAAGACATAGTAATAAGAGCTGGAGATTTTCAACATCGGTGAACAGTGTAGACCCACCCACCCACACCCACACGAAAAATCTGTCAAACTTAGCCGGGAAGGTGGTTCAGTGGTAGAGTACTTGCCTTGCAAGCATGAGCCCTGGGTTCGATTCCTCAACACCACATAAGCAGAAAAAGCCGGAAGTGGCATTGTGGTTCAAGTGGTAGAACACTAGCCTTGAGCTGAAGACCTGAGGGACAGTGCTCAGGCCCAGAGTTCAAGCCCCACGACCAACAACAACAAAAATCTGTCAAACTCTTTTGTGGGTCCCAATTTGCCATCATGCTGGGCTTGTTAAGAAACACAATGCATGGGCCTGGGAAGGTGGCTCAGTGGTAGAGTGCTTGCCTTGCATGCATGAGGCCCTGGGTTCGATTCCTCAGCACCACATAAACAGAAAAGGCTGGAAGTGGCGCTGTGGCTCAAGTGGTAGAGCGCTACCCTTGAGCTGAAGAGCAAGCCCCAGGACCGACACACAAGAAAAAAACACAAGGCAGCTTACAAGGACAGGCTCATTCCTTTCTCCTACCTGTCTTGGGCTCTTCCCCGTCTTCTACTACTGCTCCCTTTTTCCCACGCTTTGGCATCGCTGTAACGAATGTCCTTCGGCAACAGTACCTCGTCGCCCACCTAAGGAATATTTTTACGGTGTTGCCTACAGACGCAAAGAAATCGTGATATCAAATAATGGTGGCGTGAAGGCTCCTCAGCCGGGTGTCCCCGAACCAGCTTCCCCCTTTCCAACGCTATCTGCAATTCTACATCCTCGGTATCTGAAACCCTCCAGCCCCTCACCCATTTTAGATTATTTCGGAGTGCTTGCACCCTCCTTGTAATATTTCTTTCCTGCCAGGTCCTTGATTACAGTACCGTCTCAAGCTTGCAGGTCACAACCCCCAATTAGGCGCTGTTACAGAATAGCAAGGCGAAACCGGACCTACTCCGCCGCCAGGTTGCCTCTTACCGCGAGCACAAAGAATGGAACACACCGCGCACCCACGTGGGTGACTGGCAGGGTCACGAGGTCGAGGGATGTGATGATTGGCTTGTCCGGAACCACGTGACGGATAAAACCCTCCCTCCCAAGCTTGCAGGCCCTGAAAGGCCCCAATGCGTCGCTCCCGGGTGTTTGTCTTTGAGCCTGACTCACAACTCATTTTGTCAACCTCATTCAAGACCCGTGCAAGGTGCCAGGGGAAAGAACGCGGAGGACGTGGCTTGGCTAGGCCAGAGGAAAACAGAGAAGAGAATAGGACTGACCTTAAAAGGAGCCTAGTCGGTGTCCCGGGCATTTACGAAGACAGCTCCTTGGGGCCTTGAGGCCGCGTTTCCGGTGGCGCCGGCGTTGCACCCGCAGGATTTCTGGGCCGTTTGGTGTGCGCTTGCTGTGCGGTACTCAGCAGGCTCGTCTTCCGCCGAGTCCTGGCCTTTGGCCAAGTAGTCTGTAGGGAGGGCCTGGACGGCGCTCCACTGGAGCTGCGCCAATGCCAGCAGTGCTGGGATTCGAAGGTAGTGCCAACAAGATTGGCGTGGGAGTGGTGCGAGATGGCCGGGTGCTGGCCAATCCGCGGCGGACGTACGTCACTCCTCCGGGCACCGGTGAGTGCGCGGGGCCGGGTGCCTCCGCAGGCTTCCTACACAGCTCCGCTCTCCATCTCCGTAAATGCTGACGAACGGGGCCCGGGGACGCACCGTCTCCTTTTACAACTGTTTTGTGGTATTTTTTGTGAGCATCTCGTTCTGTTGCTCTGGCTGGTCTCGCCATCGCCGATGCTGCGGTCACGACGGAACCTCAAAACTCCTTGCCCCCGTTACAGTTTTTGGTTCTCAGCATTGTTGCAATCAACGTTATACGTCATTGAACTAGAGTTTATTAAGTTTTTATTGAGCGTCTTGGAGTGCGTGCGTGTATGACTGTGTTTGCTGAGCATTGGAAAATAAATGTGTGACTCTGCTGTGCCGTTGAGCATAACGGATTTTTTTTTGGGGGGGGGGGAGTCGGTCATGGAGCTTGAACTCTGCACCTGGGCGCTGTCCCTCAGCTCTTCAGCTCAAGGCTAGCGTTCTACCACTTGAGCCATGCATCACTTCCGGCTTTCTGAGTGGTTTATTGGAGATGAGTCTCACAGACTTTCCTGCCCTGGCTGCCTTTGAACCGCTATCCTCAGATCTCAGTCTCCTGAGTAGCTAGGATTACAGGCGTGAGCCACCGACGCTTGGCCATAACGGATTTTTAAAACGCTACAGCATGATAAATAGTGTACTGAAATAGAATAAAAATACAGCCGAGCACTGGGGGCTTATGACTGTGATCCTATTCAGAAGGCTATGATCTGAGGATCGAGGTTCAAGCTGGCCTGGGCAGGGAAGTCCATGAGACTCTTAGCTCCAATTAACCATTAGAAAAGAGGAAGTGGTTCTGTGACTCAAAAGTAGAGTGCTAGCCTTGAGCAGAATTGCTCAGGGACAGCGCCCAGGCCCAGAATTCAAGCCCTAGACAGACAAACATACATACTTAGGAGAGGGAAGAAGAGAACATGAGAACTGAAGGATTGTGGTGTTTGTGTTCAGTAATGTTTTGGGCACTGTTCTTTATTCTCAAATTGAGAAAACTATTACTAGTTTTACTGGGTCTTGGTACTAAGTGAAAATAGTAAACACTGTATAATTCTGTGTGTTTGTGTGTGTGTATACGTACCAGCATGCACGCAGGTACAAAGAATTAAACTATTGCCATACCACTTGAGCAGTGTCTCCACTTCCAGCTTAATGCTAGTTAATTGGAGATGAGAGTCAGAAGGCTGGCTCCTAAACTCAAATCTCTGTCTCCTGAATAGATAGGATTATAGATGTAAGATAACTTTTAATATTATTTGCAAGCTAGTATAGCTTGCCCATCATGCCCCCAAACAACCCACACACAGGGGAGGACAACCCAATGAAGTCAGGTATTAATATGACAGATTACGTTCTAGGAGTATATATATATTTGTTTCTTATTTCTTTCTTTCTTTTTTTTTTTTTTTT